TCATTGCAGCTAAAAAAATATCTGTTTCCATATAAAAGCCCTTGACTTTTCAAGTTTGACATTTTTGGCCACAGATTTTTATGGTCTCATATGTAAGAGAGTTATATTTTGTAAATCTTTTTCAAGCAAGCGGCACTCAGTCCTCAATAACTTTCTTCTGATATGTTGCTTAACGTAGAAGCCCATTAGGTCAGATATTCGCTCTTCAGTTTAGCTTATAGTTATTGAAATTGTAATCGTTGGAGGCAGTCAAACTAGTTCTACAGTGACTGGACAGTAACAGTATTATACTGATGTATGTATAAGTAAATATTTGACGCTTACACTTTATTTAGCTAAGTGTTTGGCCGAGCTTCCCCTCCAATTTTTGGTCTGCGTTTTGATGTTGTTACACAAATGGAAGGCATTGCCGCTTTGGCGCTCACACATATGTTATTGTTTGGCCGAGCTTCTACTCCGATTTGTGGCGTGCTCCTTGATGTTGTTACACAAAAAGCTGAGAAGCTGTAATACACTCGTAGGTCTGTCATTGCCTGCCACGGGGCGACCGCTGTTAAGAAAAAACCATTTGTCAATATTTTTTTTTATGTTGCTTTTACCAGGCCTTGAACCTAGGCTTTGCGGAATGGAAGCGCGCACTGCTTACCACTACACCACAGCGGCCGCCACTAATATATTCGCATTATAAAAATACCGCTGGACTACTCGATCTCTGAAGAAAACTAGTTTAGAACTAATCAAATTGGCTGCGGATTTTATAGAAACTCACATTCATTCGCACAAATGGGAGTCTACATACATACATGCAAACACATTTTTAAGAGCTTATGTGAGCAAAAACTCTATTGTATAAAGATACTTAAGCATATATGTACATATATATACACGTATGTATGTATCCACAATGAGTGTATGTACATTAGAATGGCTCGCGAAAAAATTTCATTATTCTTTTCACCAAAACCTTTGGATGACAGAAGAATGTAAACTTATGAGGTCTGCATCAAAATTTAAAAAAAAAAACTACACTTGTTCGGTTTTGAGATTTGTAATTTAACTTTCAGAAATTTTTAAAGCATTTCTTCAACAATTAATTTTTGTAATTTTTTACTGAAAAAAGTTCGTTCGTAAGTTTCAGCCTTTTTTAACACTTTTAGGGGACTCACAAAAGATGTTAAGCGTCGGAAAATCTTAAGGTTAAGGTTAACATTTTTAACATAAAATCTTAGCATAACGGTTAAAATGGTTTTAGGGCACTACCTATATGTTTTATTGGTTCAAAAACTTTTTGGTTTAGTTAGAAATTTTCTAAAATCATTTTAATCAATATTTTACATAACAAATGTTAAGCTTAAGATTTAACGATGGTTAACACGTCTTGTGAATCCCCTAAATGAAAGACCTGGAAAATACCACTTCATTAATGAAGATGAAAATCAGAAGCATGTGAGTTATTTATTTTTATTGCATCAAAAATTTTATTAAGTTTAAGTAATAGCTTGCTGACCATATTTTGTTAAAAAAAAACGTTTGGGATACTATTTCTTTTTTCTTAAAAAAATTCGATACAAAGGCGTTTGTTCAATTCTATAATGGTCACGAGGAGTTACGCTGAATTGGGCAAAAATATTTTGGTGGAAGGTATATAATTTAGAGAAAATCATAAAATTCTCTTGGGGGAGTATAAAAAATTTTTTTTTTATGAGGCGTGAGGCGGTCTAATGTGCGTATTGTTGTACATGTATCCACTTTAATTATTGTATATGTACATTGTTAATTGAATTTACAAAAAAATCCAATGAGTCTCTCTTTCTCTCTTCTTACCACAAGATCGCTCTTTTCATATTTATGTACATACCACCAACTACATTGAGAATTATCTTTTCGCACTCTCTTCTAATGTTTACAATGCCGTTCAATGCTGCCTTCATATATTTATAATTTTTTTTTTTTTGTCGCTGCAATATTAACTAGCGACTTAAAGCCTTCAACTCTGTTTCTTTGTTTTTGCGTTTCACAGTGTGACTTCGTAAACAAGTTAGACTAATAAAATCATTTTGCATCATAACTGGTATTTGAAATGCTGGATACATATACTACATACTATTCGTGCTTTCATTCTTAATCAGGTTTAAAGAAATTGAAAATTAGCTCGCTGCTTTTCGATGAAGTGACAATAAGAAAGATTTATCTGATATAATTTTTTAATGCCAACCTCACAGTGCGTAATTAGCCATTACCAAGACTTTAACGATTAACTTTTGTACTCTTTTTTTTTTTAATTTTGCTTTTCGAACACTGATTTCAGCCAGGTTTTTATTATCTAATAAACCGGGTTTTATAAGCTAATTTTTTTGTATACCATCTTAACTCTTTTTAATAAAGAGATTAAGGAATCCAAGCAAATAAGTTTTAGCAGGCTCTCTGAAAGCTTAGAGAGAGCAACAGCAGTATAAGGACTCTATAAAGTAATAGCATTTCATCCGCAAGCCTAAGGAAGAGTAATGGGAGCTTTATCTGACAAAATTCTGAGACAGAAGGGACTGAACAAGTTAGAAGAATAGGAAGATAAAACTGGTTAGTAGCTAGGGGGATGCATTCAGAGCACCGACTGATCTGGACGGTGAACAACAACTTCAAAGCACTGAAGTCACCAAAAGCTGATACCATACCCCCAGACATACTACAGCAGGGCTTAAAGCTCGTCATTGGACCGCTATTAAAAATAGTCAGAAATACCGAATTCGAGGACAAGAGTAACGGTAGTTTTCATGCCGAAGGTCGGAAAGTAAGACACACAATTTATTTGTACTAAAAGATTTAGAACATGTTGTAGATAACTATTACCTGAAGCTGTCGAAGCTGTGCCCCAAAGAAAAATAAAATGGTGCTTAGCGAGATAAAGGGCAGGAACTTTTCCAACAACATCCTTGCCACATCGGGGCAGAAGTAGGAAGATTGATGTACCCACATATGGTAACTTGGTACGCTCATAGCCGATTTTCAGCATTGCCTTTCTCTTTTTTTTTGTGCACTGCGCCCAGGTATACTTTACAAAGTTACCACGTTTTTACTTCGTTCTTTGTTGAAGGTTAAGATAGCAATACATTTGAACTAAACACGATGCAGCATGTGCTCATTTGGAATGCTAGCTAAGTATAGATCTTTCTTTGCCTGATCATGGAACGATTACACATTTTGTTACTGAAACTTAATAATTAGTTGTTTATCAAATTTCCACATCGTTATCTTTTACTAAATGATTTGTTTATTTTGCTTTAGTTCTTTGTGCATAGTTAATCATCTACTATGTACATAGTTAAGGGTCTTACATTTCACCGAAAACTACCTGCTCTATTTAGAATACATAACTCTGTCTACCTCAGAACCACAAGTCAGTCAACTATTTAGCGTCAAATCACACAGATGGTGAATTCACACTAAGTATTAAAGCTAATAATTTTTAAAATATCGAAAAATGTTGAAGATGCTGCAAAATCATCCATTCGCATACAATTTTCTGTTTGTTGGATTTATTTTTGTTTTGCGAAAAGCATTACAAGTTTTTTGTACAGCTGAAATGAAAATCGAACGATTGAGCCAATGGCCAGCAGAGGAAAGGCATTTGCTCACAAGGATTCCTGTGATACATGAAAATACTGAAAGTGGACATCCAATTTGAAAAATATTTACATATTTATTTATATTGAAGAAGGAAGCTTGTTTTGCGGCATCTCTATATATTCATTAGGTGCTTAGAAAAATAGATTTTACTTTAACAAAAAAAAATAGTTGTTAAAAATATGCAATAAGTAAATATACAAACGAATATTTTAATTTATACCAAGATTTTACTAATGGGTCTTTTCCGGAGAGTAACTGAACTCAAATAGAGTTGCCAGTGACTGAAATAATATGACAGATACGTACGATGTTACATTTGATCCCATTAGAGGCAACTCTTGGGTAACTATGACCATATTTTCGTACAGACAGTGCTTGATACAATATGGATTTTGACATTGTCGCAAGGTCGTGAAAAGTCTGGTTTAAGAAGTATCTAAAAGAAGAAAGCATGAAGAGTCCCACAAAAAACTTTCAAGAAAAGTACATGAAAGTACAGCGTTTAGATTGTCCAAAAAAGTTCGAATTCGTTGATATCTTTTTACGAAAAAACCCCTAATTTTGACACATTACTCTAGCTACGTCCCTCATGGTCTAAAAATTGTTTTTATTCTATAAAAAAAAGAGCATCGTTTTCCAGCGTCCTGGTATATCACCGTGATGAACAACAGACCACTTTTGAAAATGTCTAATTGATTTTTGTACTTTTTAAAGAACACAGTTTCAAAACTTCAAATTTGACCTATCAAAAAAATAACAAGATGGGCTTTAACACACCAAAGGATAATATTTTCTATGTAATTGAATATTTCTTAATAAGTTGGAATTATCAAAACATCAAAATTCCAATTTGATTTTTTCCGGCAAAAGTCGTTATATGGCTCATTGTGCGACGTATTTTCACTCTAAGGCAGAGATGGACAAAGTGTCTCCCAGGAGCCGTTTGCTCTTAGGAGCCGGCTTGGCACATTTAGGTGCTAGATGAGGGGTGACATCAAGAGCCAGCATGAAGGGGGAAGAATAGCGTAATAAAATTTCTTGTACTCCGACTATCATTACTAATATAAATGATGATTTTCATGTATTTTTTACACCCTCTTTACCCTAAGAACTGCTTTATTTCTTGCGTAGCACTTGCTGGCTCCTTGACTGCTTTAAGAGCCAAAAATCTGTTCATCCCTGCTCTAAGCTAACGATATGTTCCATGACTCAATCGGCTTCCCCCTTTATCCGGAAAATCTTTGTATAAGGATTTGTATACGTTCATATATTTATGCCTATGCCGTTACAAATAACCGTTATGTGAACCTAACCTATTTTGATTCGTGTTTTATGCGCTTAATAGCTAGTAGAAAATAGAAAGAAATAGGTATAAATGAATTTAGTTTATAATCTGTATTGCTTTATTAATCGTATATTTCATTTTATTGTTTGATAGTTCGACACAGACCATTAATAAATATTTTGTTAACATTAAATTAAACAGATCACGTAATATTTACAAGGCAACTTATACTCAATATATGGTATATTTTAGCTTATTACTTAAGAAAAATTTACAAAATCTACAATTTTATGTCTACTCTATTAACATACATAGGTACATATATATGCATATATGTATGTGTGTTTGTATATTTATAGGATTATATGGATGTTTATGTATATGTATTATAAAGTGGCTACATATACATGCGTTTATGGTTTAATAGGTACCTAAGTGCATTCCCTTAGTTGGAATTTTCGTAGCATATCAGTTTTCATAACCAAAACTCTAGACCAATGCTAGTGCTCATATAAAAATCAGAAATATGATTTTGATTAATTTCTTCCACATAAGCTGGTATCTAAGATAATCAGTCCACACATCTCACATATGAATGAACGTATACATATGGACTACAGCATGGCAAATTATTTACACATGTATACTTTTCAATAACTGTTCAACATATGTATGTATGCATGTAGGAGCGCATACTGAAATCCAAAACAAAACCCAAAAATTTAATATTTAAATAGCTTTAAAAGCTGATTACACATCACTATGCTCACTATGAATTTAGCACTTAATTAATGCAAATTTTTATGAAAATATCCACAACAACTGTCTGACTTCGGTTCCGCGTGCTGCTCATCGCACAGATATGCCATTTATGGTGATGACATTTCCGGCCGTCGGTTCAGGTTCGTAGACCTCTTCGTTGGTGCGCATCTCGTATGGCGCATCGTAGAATTGTTCGCTAGGTATTTGGTCGTAAATGTTCTCTGTGCAAAAACAAAAAAAAAAAAATCAAAAAGGAAACACACAACATTAAATTAGACACGTTAACATCCAATTTCTATTTATTTCATAAGCAATCGCCCACTCTTTGCTCTCACACACCTGGCTTCCGTCCAATGGACGCCGCATTACCATTCGCCCCACCTCTTCCGTTCACTTGAAATGTATTGAATGTCGCTGGTGGCCCATTGTCCAAATTCATGCGATTATTCGCTTCCAAGGTGGAGTAGGACATCACAGCTGCGTTACGCTCATCTTTGGTCTCGGCCGCTTGTACATTTTCGGTATTCTTAACCGGACGCGCCTTGTTGCGGTGCAAGAATATCAGACCAATGATGAAGAGCAGCACAATGATAACGGTTGCACCGATCGCTATGCCAGTACCCAAACTGGAGCTCTCCTGCGCCTCTGTGGCTGCGACCTCACAGCGCGGTTCTTCGCCACTCCAACTGCCATCTTCGGTACACTTACGCAGATATTGTCCGATGCGGTTGTAGCTTGGTATGCAATGATACTCAGCAGAGCCGCCATATAAGGTAGACTCATTCACGATAATCACGCGGCCATTCTCGATCATCGGCGGACGTCCGCAGTCAACAGCTAAAAAAGTTAAAATTTAATCAAATAGAAGCATAGTTTCAATCAAATCCGACTATTTAGAGTAATTGTCCATTACTTACGTTTGCAGCTGGGACTTTTTCCCGTCCATTTGCCATTCTTTTGACATACTCGCGTATCATTGCCAATCAGTGTTCGTCCCTTAGCGCATTTGAATTTCGCTAGCGCACCCACAGAGTGCTCGCCTGCGTCGACTATAAGATTTTCACTAATATCTGGCTCATCGCATGTGATTTCTATGCAAGCTGGTTTTTCGTGGCTCCAGGTGCCATCTTCGGCACACAAGCGACGTGACACTCCATCCAATTTGAAATTAGCATTACATTCGTACAATGCCGCTGCACCATAGTAAGTCACATTTGTTGCTAGGGTGACTTTGCCGTTCGTAATATTAGCTGGAATACCGCATTCGACATCTGAAAAAAAAAACGGGCATCGTTTTTTTCTTTGTAAAGCAATTTCATTTCATTATAAAATAAATGATTTCTAACTATGGTTGCCCTAATATGATGGTACCATAGACATTAGAATTTAATTTGTCAATGCTAGGAAAAAGGAGATAAACAAAGTAACTGCTATAGGACTGTAAAACATTCAGCAACATTTTATAAATCTAAAACGGCTACGAAGCTAAGTGCTGTTGGATGTCCTTGAAGGTTGACCACCCTAGCAGTAGACACACAGTCATTTGGAGTAAACTATATAAAGTGATGGAAAAGCAAGTCAATTAGATTCGAACCTGTGGAAATTCAACCATAGGATCATAGATTCTAAAGAGGCCGACAATTGCAAAAACCTTTAGCGTTCTTAGCAGGAACGACTTCCGAGTCCCAAGTCGAACGATCTTTTCACTGTAGCGTCGTCATCCATGTGTACGTAATGCCCTAGCATCGTTAAAAAGCTTGTACAGTTCATCATTCCATTTGCATCGATACCCATCACCCAAGAAGACAGGATCATAATTACTCAGTAAAATAGGTCAGTCGTAAGCTTTTGTCCGACATCGTCCGAATTTCTACTCCGTGAAAAGGGAAGGCATTAGGAGATATGTAGAGCACACCGAGCCCATAGTAACACCCTTTGTCAAGATTAACTTTTCGTTTATTTTCCAGGCTGATATTATGGGTTCGTTTCTTAATAAGCCTCAACCATAGAGATCTTTGGACTTCACAGTTGTCTGATTTGTTCCACAAATATTTTATTGGGGTAAATTATTGTGGTAGATGCGAAATGTTACAAATCGGCGGTTGGGGGCAGTTGAGCGCCTCGCCTGTCTACATTACCGAACTTTGTCTAACCATCTTATCGGCTATTTCGTTCCCTTCGATATAGCTTGGTTAGGCCAGAATTAAGAATGTAACCCCTTCTGCCTCTCCTATACAAACTAGAGTATGCGGTTGGTCAATTTTAACAATCGACTTATTTTTACGCCCGCTATTCCACACAGGTATCCTATGGTTCGTCCCCGCAGCTCTTGCAGAAGTCCTTAAACAGCATTCCGAATCTCACGGCGATGTGACCGGTCAGCAGACCCAAAGAAACTTCTTTTGGACGCAGCATAAGGAGCTCCCTCGATCTTTTCTCCTCCCATTCCGGCCACATAAGCTTTGTCATGTTGAATGTTTCCAGCTGATTCCGTCTTTGACCTGCTTCAGAGACGGAGAATGCCTGTATATGTAGTGAACTTGCAGGTAGCGACCGTCTTTCCGCAGTGTATTCCATGACGTATAAAGTGTAAGGGAAGCTCCCATTCTTGCAAGCTCATCCGCCAACTCATTACCCGGTATACCTCTGTGTCTTGGTACCCCTACCAGGTGAAGAGTGAACTGCTCTGCCTTGACGATAAGTGATCTGCGGCAACTCGTTATTGTTTCCGAGTTGCATATGAATGTGAGAGCTTTTAAAGCCACTTTTCTATCTGTTCTTCTGTCCTTAAGCATTCGACAGCCTCCTGTATTGCCGCAAGAACGGCTTGAAAGACGCTACAGTAGTCCGATAGTCGGAATGACTTTGGTCCTTCTAGTTGTTCCGAGCGCACACCTCTCCGACCTTGTTATCGATTTTGTATCCGTCAGTGTAGAACTGAAGAGAATACGTGGACCCTGGTAACGTCCAGGGTGCATTGATCTCTGCTAGGGATTTCAAACTTATATCCTTTCTCAAAAGTCGATATTTCTATGTCCAGGAACAAAGCAGAGAGCAGTGCTGATGTGGCTTTGTTATTGATCTTTAATGTGTGCTCATACTCATAATATAGTTATGCACGACATTTCCGAACAATTCTTGATTCTACTACTTTAGAGCCTAACGCTTTCATTGCTGCTTGGCGATCAACAAATACATACCATCGCATATAAATTTATCGCTTTGTTTCAACACTCGTCAGCTCTCAAATGCTCTAAAATATTCCTACCTAACAGTTTTTCAATATCACTCTGCGTTACCTGTTGAGTTTCCAGAAACCCCAAATTAAGATTGCAGGGTTGAAGCAAAGCTGAAGATGGAGATAAAGATATAGCCCCAATATCGAACAAAGTTTGATGGATTTCGACGACCTAAACGGGGTTAGATCGCCGAAACAACAGCTCTTGGTCGGATAAAACCCAAGTCATCCCGGTACGTAGAACCGGCTGTCGTAGGAATGAGCCGGCTGACGTGGACGGGACAGAACTTTGTCTGCCTCGGGAGACCCGCACCATAACAGCCCAACTTCGTTCTTATTCACCCATACATAAGTCGGCTGGAGTTCTGGCGATAGGTGTCCCGTAGCTATTGTCAAATGACCAACTCAATTATTATACTTACATACGCATTCCGGAACTGCACCACTCCATTGCCCATTGTCTTCACAAGTCACAAGAGCCTCGCCGACCATCTTATAACCGCGTTCGCAGCGATATTTAGCCAAGGCGCCAACCCTGTGTGAAAAAATTTTAGTGGAATTTGAAATTCTGCTAAGTTGTATAATATTTTTTCGCTTACTTATAAGTCTGTGCGCTATTCTGTGTCGAGTCGGCTGTACGTATCAGCGTCGACCGTACATGCGGTCATTTCCTGTGACGGAAAGCAAACTGTGCGCCGCCAGTACAGGTTCTGAGCAACGGATTTCTGGGAAAGACAAAGAGGCTGTAATTATGAACTATACAAAAATGAGACTAGAAGAGGCTCCTTTACCTTCACATTTCGGCGTGCATCGCTCCAACCACCTGATTCTAGGCAAACACGCTTGGCGACACCATTCAGCTTGTGGGACGGAGCGCAACTGAATGTTACCTCCGAACCCACGAGGTGGTATTTTGGATATATCTTATGGAGCCGTATGGTATCGGGGTGATAACACCACAGTCGATATCTGTAAATGAGAACTTTCATGGTCTCCGGACTTTTGCTTTCATTACCTAACTATGTACTCACATTCGCAGAACGGTGCATCTGTGCTCCACTCGCCAGTGTCCAAACATTCCAGCGTAGGATTGCCGCGCAGCACATGCCCGGATCGCAGTTGTACTGAATCTTTGAGTGCACATTGTAATCATAGCCAACAACAAATGAACCGGCAGGCACATGGGGCGTTCACAAGCGACCAGCTCACATACTGGCGCATCACCAGACCATTTACCCTCCTTGGTGCAGTATAACTCCGATGGACCATCCAACCAATAATCATCTTCGCATTCATATTTCACCATCGAACCAACAGTAGTGGAGGCATTCACCAGCACTGCATGACCACGATCGGGACGCGCTGGTGCGCCACAATCGACGAAGCGACATGATGGTGGCTTACTGGACCATTCACCGCCAAGACCGCAGGAAATTATCTACCGCAACAACAATAAAATTTGCAAAAAAAAACACCATAAATTGAAATCATAATCCAGCGCTGCAGTTGCGCATAAATAATTGCTGCTCGCTACCGCACTTGCTATTGAAATCAAAAGTTAACTCACCGGTTCGCCCACCAACACATAACCGGCCTCGCACTCATATGTGGCCGTTGAGCCGGCGCGTTATCCGTCACACTTACGCTGCCCCGGCGATGCGTGGCGGCTCAGGACACCAATCGACCAGACATTCCGGCTGCTTGCCCGTCCAACCAGTCAGCGCACAAGTGCGATTCTCATTGCCAATGAGCGTGTAATTCTCGTGACAAGTGTAGGTCGCCTGTACGCCATAGCTGGTGCGTTGCTCCGAAAGTAGAATGGCGCCATGCTCCAGTTCCGGCAGCGGACCGCAATCGACATCTATGGTGTGCAAGAATATGATTGAATTTAAAATTATATGCGCTTTTTTTTTTGTAACTACTCACATTTACATGTGGGCGCCCTTCCGCTCCAAATCCATCGCGCGGCAAGTGCGCTCCGCATCGCCGATTAGCGAGTGGCCCTTTGGACAAACGTACGTGATTTTATTGCCCAGCGTATAATTTCGGCCTACAATTGTGGTGTTCTGCTGCGAGTCCGGCGAACCACACGAAAGCGGCGCTAAATCAAAAAAGAGCGTGTGTCCGGTATTAGTGTGTAATTAGAAGCGAACAAATTAAACATTGGCTTTTTTTCTTTTTCAAACTCACAATGCTGGCAAATAAAATGCAGGTAGTCCAAATTGCAGCCCACATCATTCCACAACCAGTTGCGGCCGCCATCCAACACCACACAATTTTGCTCGCCATTATAGTTGTTCGGTTGATCTTTGCCCCAGGCCGGTTTCTGCACCAGTTCGCCTATAAATATTTGCAAACAAGTATTTTATTAAATATGGCTGTAAAACAGCGTTAATATTTATTTAAAAATTTACATTCGCGCAAGGCTAATAAATCGCTTTTAACGGTCACATTGCGGGCTCACACTGCTTTTGTTTATAAAACTAGCAACAACGCATAGCTTATATAATTAATTTACTGTAAATTCATTTTTTTTAATCGTTGCATGGAAAACTAGTAATTAAAATGCAGCGTGGCACGCCAAAGACTTTCGTTTTTCAAAGAACATTTAGTGGCTCAACCAAATATGGTTGCACGCTAAAATAGCCCCTAGCCGCCTTGGCCAACTGCATTTGCATACAATTATCGCTTATTTAGCACAGCCATTGTTGTTAACTGTGCGTGTAATGGTGGTATTCATTTGAATAGCATTCAAAAAGCGACCTTTTCCTTTTAAAGCGTACGCGTATTGTATTTTTTTTTTCGATAACTGGATTTTCTAGAAATATTTTTGTTAACGAAATCGATATTGGTTTTCACTTTTTATTGTGTTTGGGGCCTTTTTTTTTTTGTTTGTGTGGCTTTCTGGGCAAACAAGTTGGTATGTCGAATTTGGTTGAAATTAAGTATTAAGGGCATCCACGTTTGTTTTTCAATGCCTCTTTCTTACGGACTTGTGGAAATATTTTAAAGGTTTACCTATAACTTTTCGCCGGCACTAATTATATGTATCTTTTATATTTACAAGCATGATAATCAGATACCTTTGTAGAGAGCTGCAAACTGCTCATCGAGCTTCATTTCATTTGTATATTCAAGAATTAATGAAAATAGGAAACTAATCAGTGAACATAACAACAACATAAGCCTCATTTGTGCGCACGCTTCAACGCGCGAGAAGAATGAAGAGACTAAAGGGGCAAATCTACCAGCGCCTAGAGGAAGCATATGAGCGCTGCCTCCGCAACGGTGTTAAAATCGTGCTTGGCGACTTCAATGCCAGGGTGTACAAAGAAAAAAATATTTGGTTCAAAAGTAGGAAAATTTAGCCTTCATGACCAAACCACTGACAATGGAGAGAGGCTAGTAGACGTGCCAGACAGCGGCATTGAAACCTTTACAAAACTACTTGGTTATACCCTGATCAAAGAACGAAGGCCCAAATTGATCATGTTATGATAGACGGAAGATATGCTTCTTGATGTACTTCTTAACGCTTTTAAATGGCTACATCGATGGCGCGTTTTATAAAGAATGTCCAGGGCTAATGTTTTAGGGATGATGGTAACGTTCCTCTACTTGAGTAAGACGAGGTGAGCACAGCAATAGGGCCGACTTAAAAACATCAAGGCCCGCGAATTGATATTGGAATCTTAGTGTACTTTGTCCAAGCCATCTTTATGATGCGTATAAATCCCGTCGGCAATGGTATGTTATAGACTAAAGCCCGTCAGCCCAAGTCAGTCTTCCATTTTCCATATTTTCACAGCACGTCAAATACCGGAGAAGACACTAGATATGCAAATCGGCACACACACCGTCTTTATGACGATTTTAAAACCGCTTTTGACAGCACTAAGAGAAACAATGTAGACTGATGTTGGGCACAACCTTCAGTCCCGCTTAAGCGATTCACTTCTCGTGCGGCTTTTTCAGTTTGATGCCCGACAGCATAAACAATTTGCAAAAGAACTACTAGACATTCGAAAGCGATACCTTTTAGAATACGTTCCCGGCACAAAATCTGGAATCGCTTTAAGTGGAAACGAGTTACTAAAGGTGATATTACTTAGAATATCTAAACTATCATTTGCTTCTTTAACCCATTACGGAGAATGAAAAATTTTCTCAAAGCCAACACCGGCAATCACATCCCCATTTTAAAGAAATGCCTTCCAGGGGCAAAAGTGGAGGCGGTTGCCAATTTCTTTCGATTTCACATTGATTCTTTAGGTAAACACGTTACCACAAGTAGCGATTCCAGATTTTTTGCTGGAATAGAGCATATGTATTTATGTACATGCTATGTATGTATGTATGGCTTTAGGCGTTATAACTTTGTACCTGCAGATTACAATTCTACCTGGATATAAAACGCAACGAAAACCAGGAGTCTTCCAAATAATTTTGGAATTTCGAAAACGATGCTCGCATGTGTGTACTTAGAAATTCGTAAAAATATGAGTGCTTTGCTAGGTACGGTAATGAATGGTCTTTAAATACCTCGCAGAAAAGATACCTAGATTATTTTTTTAAACACACGCACGAGATTATTTACGGCGCATGTGTGTCAGGAATATTTATGTACTACAAACAAAGATTTCCAGGGCCATTTTATATTGACTTTTCTGCTTATATTTTGATCCACACAAACTACCTGTCTGGCCTTATAAACTCGGCGGCCAAGCCTGAGGAAGCATCAGTGATCTCCTTGTCGCCAGCACAAAAGTTCCTTCCTCATTGCGGAAATCAGTTTATAATTCAAAGATATTCGAAGATGCTGTTTCGCATAAAGAAGAATATATTTCCCGTTGGCTTCGCTTGCTTCGGATTTGTCTTCATTTTACAATTATTTTTATACGTTTTCTGCTTATTGGAAACTAAAATCGAACATCTTGGAGATATTCCGAAATCGAAGCCTATGGGGAAAACTGAAGGAACGAAAAGCTAAACAGCTGACATATGTGGATCTTATAACATGCGTAATAGCTACCACGACGTTGGGCTACTAGAACGGAAAAATAAAAGTTCGATTTTTTGTGTGCCTTAATATTTTTATGTTAAGAAAGAAAAAATTATTACATTGAACTCCTGATTATTAAATTCTATAAGTGTATTGTTTTAATTAAAATAATAGAAAAGGAATTGCTAAAATATACTCAAAGGTAAACTTCATCATTCTATAGAACCTTTTTTTTTTTTGAAGTTAAATAATAATCGCATTTAAAAGATTCGAACGACTTTACATTGAATTGAAAAAAAATGTGTTTAGCTTTCCTTAAAAAATTTTAAATTTATAGTAATCGTAAGCTTTTTGTTAATAATATTATGACTTACAATATTCCCCGCTTAGTTGCACTTCAAAAATTGCACAATTTTTGATTCAATTAACCGGGGAATCAATTAAGCGGGAAACATTTAAGGTATATCAATTTCATAGCACATATTCTTAACCAATTATGCGGGGAAACCAATTAATCGGGGGTCAAGTATGTGTGGAATACATAAAAATGGGCACGGGTGAGGTTTCCTAAAACAGCCTTTGTCACTAAAATTAATTGATTTGAGCTGAAAATGTAAATATTTTATGAAAGTAACCAACCATGGAGGTCACAATTCATCATAAATAGCACTGTACAACAAAACCAAACGTGTTTGAAAATAACAAAGTTTTGAATGTTGTTGTTTTTCCACAGCAATTTTTCATAAAAAATGGTCCCGATCTCAAAAAAAAAAAATTGTTTTTGAAATGATTTATAATAAGGATAAGAATAAGGTTAAGAATAAGAAAAATATTAAGATTAAGATTGAGATTGAGAATATGATTAAGAATAATATCAATATTAAGATTAAGATAAATATTGTGATTGAGATTAAGATGAAGGTGAAAAATATGATAAAGGTAAGTTTTTACTATTATGCAGGAAAAACACTCAAAAGATATACGAGTAATGGGAAGACGTTTATTTTTCTTTTTGCAAAATGGACAAAGCATATCCTCTTCCGTGTAACCCCATTTTTTGACACACATAACAAGGAAAGTGCATAATTTGAAGTTTTTAACTGTCTAAAAGAAGAGATTTCGTCCGCATATTTATAGAGGAAATTTAAATGGCACTCCTGTATTTAGTGATGGTCAAATAAAACTTTTGGACTTTTGTCCGGATTTAGATTAATTTTACTTTTATTAATGATTTATAAGCAAAACAAATTTTTGACGCTGTGGTGAGCGCTTTGTTGTTTTCACAGAACGACGAATGGTTTGACATTTTGTACTTGGCGAGGTAGACAATTTTTTAACCAGAGTCCTACCGAGTATTAGGACGCACCTTTAACGACTTGGCGGCCGCCATGGATTTGATAAATCGCTCTCGTCTACAATCCATTTGCATTTACAAAAAGTAATTAATTTGTATTCTATTGAAATTTGGGATTTAAATTCCGGCAAACATTTCAACAATTTTATTCGCAACCCACTGACCAAATTCGAATCTGGTTTCTTGATCTTCAAGGTTTTTTTTTTTTTTTATAAGGGTGAGCTTATGCATTCAATTAAGCCGGTATAATTTTCTCGCAGTCACTCTTCAAAGCAAACATTGAATTTCAGCCTTTTTAGGTGTGTGTGTCACTAAATTAAGATGAAAATAAAATAACACCGGTTTTTATAGCAAACGAAAAACAAATATTTATTTTTTGCTGCCATAAAAACTAAAAAAAAAAATAAAAAAAAAATATAAAACAGACGAGTCCGAAGAAATTTCAACAATATAATAAATTTAAAGTTTGCTAATTTCATCGCGGCGCGACAAATGTTAAAACTGCATACACACACACATGCATATGTATGCACATGAAATAAAAGGTTTAATGTTAGCAAATGTTTCTTACCTACTCTTAATAAATTATATTCAAAAGTTCGTACATACATAAATACATACTTGTGTATGTACTTTTTGCTTTTGTGAAACATAATTTTTCCAATGTAAAATTTTAATTAATTAAAAATTTATGAGACAAACAAACCCATTGGCTTACCGTTAACCCATTTCCAGGTGCGCGAAGTAATGCCGGGCTCCTTCTGTGCGCCAATCCACACCAGCTGTGTCTTTAGTTCTGATTTGCGGCGCTCCAATTCGGAGAGTATATAATCATTGGCAGCGCCACGAAAATCGTGCACCAAATTGCCACCTAAAAAAAATTTAGTAAGTACAGAGTATAACAAATAAGCAAAAAACTTGCAACTTGCTGTAGTTAATTCGTGCAAAATAATGAATAACACATTTACTTATTATTTATTTG